GGGAGAAAAGAAAACCGGGATGAAAAAGATTTGGTTGGGCGAGCTTGGATCACGTTCATGACTTCTTTCCTTTCTTGTTCACCATTTTGTTTCTCTTCTTCGTCTTCTTCTTCTTCTCCTTGTTTTCTTCTTCACCTTCTTCTCGTCTTGATCTTTGCTTGTACTTGGTCCGGGAATTTGGTTCATAAATAGCCAACCCTAGTCTGAGGGAAAATGTAAAGAGAAAACTCTTTTTTTTGAGAGAGAGAGAGGCAGGTGAGGATGTAGAGGGGTAGATGGTACACATATCCCACGCATACACATTGCATCGTGGCCATTGCGTATGGGGCGGTAGATTGGGCGGGTACGACTGGATTTTTTGAATGTTTCTTTTTTTTGTTTGATGTTCTTGGTATTTAGAGTCTACGTATGCCGATACCCTCGTTTTTTCTGTTCCCCCTGTTCTTACATTCTGGGGTAAAATTCGGATCTTGTTCAAAAGCTCACTTCGGTTGTGAAAGAATGCTAGTCACCCTTATCTCGACGGAGATGTTACATTCCGTTTGCCTGAGTATTTGAATCCTAGGTCTGGATGTATTTGTGGAGTTTTAAAGCTTTAGTCTACGTCAGGGTATTTGCTCCAGCCACCCACGGATGATGGCTGAGAAGATTTACATCTACGTCTGGACATCTGCTTCTACTTACCCATCTTTTTAAGAAGCTTCCGGATATCTACTTCAGCTACCATATCCCAGTTCACCATCTCTAGTGGCGGCAGCTTCCACATATGTTTCTGAATGTCATGATCCTCCACCTCCTCTTCGAGATCTCGAGGCTCGTTGAAGGATGCGGAGTGACGGCACGAGCTGAGGATGATTCCGCGGGTGAGCTTTCGTCGTTGGAGGGCTCCCTGCCGACGTTGTCCCTCTTACCTGGGGCATGTAGAGACCTCATTGTCGCTCTTTCGTTTCTTTTCGTTTGGCATGTAGTCAGAGTTGGCTCCGGTCTCACTTTGGTGTTTGGGGTTGACATGATGGTCGTGTTTGTGGTGGAAGGTCTTCAACTGGAAGACGTATGTTTTGGATTGGGTCAAGCTTCGCTACGGCTCGTGTGCCTCCTAAGGATCCATCATCGTTCTTCCTTATAAAACCCGCTCACCAAATCACTCCATTCCTGCGCCTCAACTGCTTTCTCCATACAGAATCTCCGGACTGCTCACTCTCACCGTCGTGCTTTCAAGGTAGAGAGTGGCCCCACTCATATGAGATGGCGACATCAAATCGGACTTGGAACTTACCTACTACTGTTACTGATGCTTGATCAGGTCCGAGCAAATCAGATAACACGCGAGAAGAGGCTTTCCGAGAACAAAATCTCTTAATTGGATTTAGAAGCGGAGTTGCAAGAGGCGAAAGAAGATCACGTTTCCTTGCGGCAACGTCTCGGCGAGGAATGGATTGGAAGACTTATTAAATCGGACAGGATACGCCAAGAGGCTGAGGAGAGGTCTCAAAGGGCTAAGAAGAGACTTCCGGAGGCAGAAGCCCTCATGCAGGATTTTAAAGGTCAAGAGAGAGGTGCAGCAGACCACGGGTTCTAAGCGAAGGAGAACTAAGTAGGACCATAAGCACAACAGTAGTTGGAGAGCCATGGAAGACGCTATCTGGAGAGCAGGATGAGAACGCAAAACTTAAAACCCTCACACTCAGAAAAGCGAACGAAGAAAACTATGTTTTGGAAACCAAAAGCCCATAGTACATTTTAATGACTTCATCGGGGAACTGCATACGTGGGAGGAAGATTCAGAGAGGGCTTAGTCATGCAGGGACGAAAAGTAAGGAAACAAAGAGTAAACGGAAAGCTCAAAGAAGAAACAGGGATCATTGTCTTGGATCGGTTGAAAGAGCGTCGGGAGGCACCAGATTATTTCTCCAAACAAAGCGAGCCACGAAAATTCTCAAGTGAAGTTGAGATAGTATGCATTGGGCTTTTGGAGCAATGGCACCAGCTAAAAAGAACAAACCAGCGGCGGTGGGAGGATATAATATGCATAAAACAGATAACAGATTTGACGTCTTTCTTCACCTGTCCCACAATTGCTACGAAGAGGTTTGACCAGCACCAATCTCTGTTGTACGCTCAGTGCAAGATAAGTGAACTTCGGAGGCCAGCCTGGGGCATATATTCGCACACTGATGGGGCTTCCAATGCGAGATTGGTAATAGATAGTATTCTGAATGTCGACAAGCTGACATGGACACAGACGGCCTAAGCGGTTAAACTTGCCTGCTACTGATCCAGAGAAGTTGGCCGTTGAACCTTGCTCGCGAAGGAAAACGTTTCTCCAGGCAACCCAAAGAAGTCGGAACTCCTGGCGCCTATCAACCTTACCGGAAGGAGACGTGGAACAGCCGCGAAGTCGGCACACTGAAAAAACAGTCTCCATTCAGAAGCACCGCCGGCTTCTCGTATGTTTTCCTCCATAAGCGGAAGACGCTTCTCTTCCGATCCTGTTCTTCTACATACGGCGTCAGCGTCAAAGTATGGTGTATGTATGTACTTCACGGTGTGGAGTATGATCGCATTCGGCGCTCGCACGAGACGAAAGAACAAGTTCTCGTTGTATGTACATACATACAAGCGGGGGCGCCGTCACCCTTGGAGGGGCCGGATGCCCAACGACCATCTCGATTGCCGCAGAACCCTGCCGCGGACCAAGGGCCTGGAACGCCGAGCACGCGGCTGCAACCCCGATTACGCAATGACGCAGATGAGTGAAGCAACTTGGGTTGCGACAATGACGGAAGAACAAGGGCAACATGGGGTGATTCCTGTGCATACGGATTGAGCGTAGCAGCACTCACTCTTTGCAGCCGGACGCCCGTCCGAGGGGGATTGATGGGGTCATTCAGAGATGAGCGGAGGCGCGTGTCTTTGTCAGGCGCCCGAAGCGGCACACGTCAGTTCTGGCCCGCCGTGGTGGGGACGAGTCAGCGGAGTAAGGGCTTTCTCTCTCTCATTGCGCGCCCTGCGACGCCAAGTGTTTGTCTCCCAGAAGTCGACTGGGTATGCAGGGGGGAGGGAACCGTAACGTGAGCTGATGCAAGATGCGTCCTCCCTACCGCCTGAGATAGGACAGCGTAATGGCATTGCCGAGTCTTATTACACCCCATCTGCAATATACGTCCGGAAATCGATCGTGGCGGTGAGCCAATCAACAACAGTTCCGCCCAGACAAGCGAAGACCACGCGCTTTTGTAGCTCGATCTGCCAGCTTGCACTATGTATGCTCGTGAATCATGGTCGTTCCCCCCTCCCCCCGCTTGAGTTGCCCCAGATATGGATCATTCCGTGCGAGCCGGGAGCGCCACGCCGCTGACATGCAGGATAGAAAAAAAAAAGAAACAGAACCAGCCAGTGACAGGCGGACGTCTTTTTTTGCGGCATGCAGTAGTAGCTCGAACCGCGCAACGAGAAAAACCCCTAGCGCGACCAAACTTCGACAGAGCCTGCTACCTAGCTAGCGCATGCAGCGACAGCTTCCTGTCATCATCAAGCTTTCCAGCATGTACCGTGACTGGCTGGAGACACGGCCGATTATTGGCTGCGCGCTGGGAATAATGATTTTTTTATGCAGCCAAAAGGGGTGGGGGTCCAGGTCCAGGTCCTACCCTGGCCCTACTAAAACACGTTGTCTAATGACTGTGAGACACGGACCGCAAGACGCATTATTGCATGTAGGTAGAAAACATGACGGCTGCGAGGGTGGCTGCGGCAACGGAAAGGCTTGACGTTGGAAAAAAGGTGCCTGGAAGTCTGGACCATCTCGTATTTTTTTTTTCCCCAACCACAGATCCCTCCTCGCCCACGCGAGACGCACGCGGGATGGGGAGGAGGCGAAAGAAAAAAGAGGGGAGGCGAAAGAGAACGGCGGGCCTCGCGGAAAGCAGCCCGGCCGGACAGGACCGAAGAATAGAAAGGGAAGTGGGGTGAGCGCGGGTGTTCGAAACAACAAATGATTCACGCAAGCGAATGATCGTCAGGCACGACGGAAAACAGTACGTATTAGCCGACAGCCGACGAGACAGAGAGAGAAAGAAAAAAAAAGGAGCAGGCCAGAAGGAGAAGTCCGACGGAGCAATGAGCAGAAGGAAAAAGGGAAAGGCGGGGATGTGCGCAAGGCGTGCATGAACGACCCAGGGGCCGGCGGGCTAATGTGGGGCTGGTCGTTCCGCACGCGCCGGGATGAAGCCTGACGACCGCCCATGCCTGCTGCTTCCTGCCTTGCGCCATTGGCCGTCGTCAAGATGCGATTGTAGCACGCGATTGCCGACGTGATGAGATCCTGCATGTGGATGCGACTTTCCTGACCCACTGTCACAACCTTTCCTTATCCAAATGTCGATGCGAGTATGGAAAATACACAAACGCATCCAGATATAGGATTCCATCGTCCATGTGGGATACACGCTGGGTGCAGGAAGAAATGGACCTACAGTGATTCTTCACGTAGGCAGTCGGAGCCGACGTCTCGACGTGAGTGTAGGTTCAAACAGCCTGTCTCCATGCAGATGTAAAGTAAATGCCCGGACGTAGATATAAGTAGTACTAAAAACCATACAAACGAAATCAGATATGGGATTCCACTAGCCATGTAGTCCGTAGACCGGTTGATTTCTTTCGTGCCCCACTGTATAGGAGAGTTTAGCTTTAGGCAGGCTCCAAAAAGCATAAACATATAAAGAAGCTTAGCTGTTATTAAAGCCCTAAAAAGCTTAACCACAATCACAAATCGTAGAGAAAGAACGGAGGTAGGTTTTAGCGGCACAGCCAGAAGATTGTATGTATATACTGGTAGGGAAAAAAACCAAAATATCTACAAGTACATGTTTTTTGCACCTGTCCACCAGCCATCCCGAGAAACCAAGCCGATCAGACAGATGCGTCGGACAGAACGAAAAGCAGAAAGGGAGAGAGAAAGAGTGAGAATCGCAGCAAACCACTCGGTCGACACCAAATAAATGTCTCAAACTTTTCGTGATTTTCCTTTTCCTTTCCGCTTTTCATCCGGCCATCATCCTCCACCTCTTTCTTCCCCTTCGCCCCAGATCACTTCAAAAGATACTGAAAAAGAAATTGTCGAGTCGGTCGAGCATCAAGTAAAAGCGAGTAGCTTAAAAGCTGGGGGTGGGGACAGCGCCAGTGGGCTGGGCACCGCCGAAGCCAGCGCCAGGAGTGCCCTGGGGACCGCCGAAGCCGCCAGCCGGGGGAGTGCCCGAGGGGAAAGCGCCGGGAGTGCCGTGAGGACCGCCGAAGCCACCGAAGCCGGCGGGGGGAGTGCCGGACGGGAAGGCGCCGGACGGGAAGGCACCGGTGGGCAGGGCGCCCGAGGCGGGGGTGCCGAAGCTGGAGGCGAACTTCTCGGCGAACTTGGCGGCCTGCTCGAAGTCGTTGGAGGCACCGGGGGTGGGGACGGGGCCGCCGAAGCCGCCGAAGCCGGCGGGGGGAGTGCCCGAGGGGAAAGCGCCGGGAGTGCCCTGGGGACCGCCGAAGCCGCCGAAGCCGGGAGTACCGGACGGGAAGGCGCCGGACGGGAAGGCGCCGGTGGGAGTGCCCTCAGCCTGGCGCTTCTCCGCGGGGGGAGTGCCGGACGGGGGAGCACCGGTGGGAGTGCCCTTGGGACCACCGTGGCCGCCGAAGCCGGCGGGGGGAGTGCCGGACGGGGGAGCGCCAGTGGGAGTGCCCTGAGGACCACCGGGGCCGCCGAAGCCAGCCGGGGGAGTGCCGGACGGGGGAGCACCAGTGGGAGTGGCCTCAGCCTGGCGCTTCTCCGCGGGGGGAGTGCCAGACGGGGGAGCGCCGGTGGGACGGCCGCCAGCGGGAGGAGTGCCCGACGGGGGAGCGCCCGACGGGGGAGCGCCAGACGGGGGAGCGCCAGAGGGAGGGCCGCCGGCGGGGGGAGTGCCAGCGGGGGGAGTGCCAGACGGGGGAGCACCGGTGGGGGTGCCCTCAGCCTGACGCTTCTGCTGTTCGCCAGCGGCGGGAGTGGGCACGGCACCACCAGCGCCGGGGGTCTGCTGGCCACCGAAGCCGCCGAAGCTGCCAGTGGGAACGGCACCGCCGGGGGTCTGCTGGCCGCCGAAGCCACCGAAGCCACCAGCGCCGGGGGTGAACGAGCCGCCAGAGGGGAAAGCGGTCGGGAACGAGCCGCCAGCACCGGGAGTCTGCTGGCCGCCGAAGCCGCCGAAGCCGGCACCGGGGGTGTGGTGGCCGCCGTGGTGGCCGCCGAAGCCACCGCTGGGAGTGGGGAAGCTGCCGCCCGAGGGGGGAGTGCCAGCGGCCTGGCCGCCCTCCTGGCCGGAGCCAGACTGGGCAGCCTCCTGCTGGGGCATGGGGGCCGAGGCCACGAGGGCGCTGCGGAAAGCGTCAGTGACCGAGTTCCTGGTGCTGGTGCGGGTGGCAGGTGGGAGAGAAGACTTACCTCGAGGCCAGAGCAAAGATGGCGTACTTGGAGAGCATATTGAAAATTGTTCAAGAGATTGGTTTTTTGGTTGCGGGATTAGGGCAGAGAGAGAGAAAGATCAAAGACAGGGTAAAGTGAGTGAGATTGCGTCAAGCAATTGGTGAGGGCAAAAAAAGCAAAGTAGAGACCGGTCTACTTGGTGTGAGTGAATGAGAGGACTGCTGCGAGTGGTGAGCTAGAAGTGGCCGAGCCAGAGGTTCTTATACAGAATGGACGTGTAGAAGGGCGGGCATCCCTATCCGCATCGGGACAGAAGGCCGGGGTGGCGGCTTGCGACGCCGCCTGTTGCAGCAGGCCGGAGCGGTTGTTGGGGCACGTTGCTGGTACAGGGCGCTGTACAGCGGTAGGGCGGCTGAGGCGTGGTGGAAAATAGGGGCCTGATCGAGCCATAGTCTCCACCAATCGACCGCGTCGACCGGCGCTCCATGTTTCGAGGCCCTGCAGATGCAGATCGGCTACCGCGTTTAGGGAAACGACGAGAAACAGGGCGTTTGGATGTTTGGCAGATCGACGGTTGCGCACATGTGCCCACTGTTTCCAGCGGTCATGGAGCTGTGGACCAAGCGCCCTGTCGCGCGGAGGCTTACGCGTCTGCGCCGGCGCGCGCTACAGGGCGGGGCGGCCGTTTCGAAGATTGCAGGAATGACGGGCCGCAGCGGCCATACAGCTCTCTGGAAGAATGCAGCAATTGGAGCTCGAATGGCACCATTGGCGGGATCAGAGGCGCGCCGGCTGGGCGGCGACGGTGGTTGAATCTGGGGTAATTTGGCAGGGCCGGGAGCTGCGTGCCCCGCCGCAGAGCTGCACATCGGGCGGACAGATCGTGGTGGCCTGGCAGGCGGAGCAGCAGCAGGCGCAGCTCAGGGCGGCATGGTGTGGGTGTGTGGGCGTGTGGATGCCAGGCGGCCGGTCGTGGCCGGCAACGGGAGCGTGTTTGGTGGCGCGCGTTGAGGGTTTCACGAGGCGCGGGTTGGCCTGGCCTGGCGGCCGCTGCGCCGGGCCCAGCCGACACCGGCACCACCAACCACCAGCCGGGCAGGGCCTTCTGTTTCAGCAGCATCGCCAAACAAGCTTGGTTTAAGGTTGCTGAGTCGTCGTGGCGCCAAGGGGTCGTGGGACTCGTCACTCCCTCCCCATGGCCGACAATCAACGCAAGACAGAGACACAGTGCGACTTCGTTTCGAAACCCTGCGTACGTCATCAACGCCAATCTACACTGCCTGCCACTGCTGCGGGAGACGGCGGGAAACCCTTGCTATACCAGGTAGTCATGCAAACGCTATTTTATTTCCCTTCCTTCCGCCATCCGTCACCATCGCGCCCGTTTCTCGCGCAACCGTGCCCGTCAATCTCGCAACCTTCTGTCGCCGTTGCCACCGGCCCGAGCTCCCTACTTTGTGCCCTTGGACACCGCCGCGGCAAGGTCCGCCAGGGCCTCACGTCGCTTAAACTTGGCGTCCTCGATCACTCCTGCGTGGTGTAGCACCGTTAGCAGCCATTATGTATACTCCCATGACGGTCTGGGCCCTTTGCCACTCGTGCCCCGCGCCAGATGGAGGCGCCGACGCCCGCGGACCTTAATTCGGAGAAATTGAGCTCCACATACCGGCATCAGCATCGCTGGAGAAATTGCCCGTCCACTGGATGAACGTGTGGCCTTCATGCTTGCCCGACGTGATGGGGAAGAGCCGGATAGTGCTGACCACCGAAGAGTAGCTCAGCTCGGGGGCGGCCGTGATGACCGAGTAGGTGATGAAGTGGTCGATCGACTGCAAACACGCGCACCACATTAGCAATCGAATTCCCAGAATATGCATAGCTCCGCAGAGCAGAGGGCGCCCTTCACCCGGCCGCGCCTACCGAGTGCTCCTCCTGCTTGACCTCCAACACGGTGCCATCCTTGAAGCTCCACTTGAACACGTCCGTCTCCGGAGACGCCCCTTTGACGAACTCGCTCTTGTCGAGCTTGGACCAGAACTTGGAGAAGTCCTGGAGCTTGACCAGGTGCCAGACGCTGCTCAGGTGAGCTTCGATCACCGCCGTCTCGACGACTGACGTGGACGTGGGGATGCGAGTGGCCATTGTGCTTGCTGGGTGTTTGTTGGTCGTGTCTGATGTAGAGTGTGCAGAGTGGATGAGTGGTTGTTGGAATCGAAGCTGGACGTTGGAGCTTCCAAAGCTGCCCAGCTATGACGTTATCGTTCGTAGCTTCCTCAACCCCGCAACCAAATGCGGCAAGCGAGGGCTTGGAACTCAGAGGCGAATGCAGTAGTCGCGCAGCCCCGAAAATTTAGTAATTGGAATGCATCAATCCACAAGCATCATCACCCTGCAAGGTTCCAATCAGGATTTATGCACATCCCGCTGAACATGCAGCTCTGTTGCTGGGCTCAAATACACGGCGCCAAGAAATCGCAGCATTATGACTTGAGGACTCACACTTCTGGTGCCAAGACAGTTCGGTCGAGGCACACACTTTTTCTTGCACGCATCTTGCGGTGTTCATGGCTCTGGCCAACTTTTGCCATGTTCCCAAAATTTGAGTCCGTTGCATGTACTAATCGTCGTGTTGGTCTTCATGAATCACTTCACCACGCCAAAATCACATTTAAGCATCATGAGGTAAGCTTAGTTTCTTTTCCAAAAGGAAATCAAATTTTTTCTTGTGTTTTCTCTTTTTCGGTGGAAAGCAAGCAAGAGACTATCTAAACCTAAACGCCTGGTATATGTTCCCTATTCCTTTCCCTTTCCCTTGTTCATGTCGGCGATGATGATGCGCCTAGCCTACAGAATGTCGACCTTCTTGATCTCGACATAGTCCTTATCAAGCTTGGGCACCTCGACCCTCAAGATGCCATCCTCGAGCTTGGCCGTGATGGCGTCGTCGTCGACCTGCGCCGGGTTGGCGCGAGAGCCAAGCCTGATCTTGCGCTCAAACGGCCCAACCTTCCTCTCGTCCAGGGCCAGCGTCTTGATGAAGTCCTCGTCGCCGGGCCGGTGGACGACGCCGGAGATGCTGATCTCGCTCTTCTCCGCGTCCCAGCTAACGCCGACATCTTCCTTCTTTGCGCCGGGCAGAGAGACGTGGATCACGTATAAGCTCTCGGTGTCGAAGACGTCGGCTTCGGGCTGGAAGTCGCCCTGGCTGTTCTCTCTTTCCTCGTTGTCGTTGTTGTCGTTGGTGTCGTTGCCTCCGAAGAGCTGTTTCTGGAAGGCATCGGCGAGCTCGCCGAAGCCGGAAGGACCGCCACCAAAGCCAAAGGGTCCGTGACCCCAAGGGCCACCGCCCCAAGGACCACCGCGTCCCCAGCTTCCTGGACGGCCACCACCACGGCGTCCGCCGTGGCCACCACGACGGTGGTGATGTTGGTGTGGGTGGGGCGGTCCGTCGTGGCGCGGCTCACCTTCTTGAGGCTGCTGGGCGGCATCTTCGGGGTTGGATCCTGGAGGAGGCGGAGGCGGGGGGTGGCCTTCGTGATGAGGCGAGTGCGGCCGAGGGCCGCCGTGGTGTGGATGCGGGTGGTGGCCCTCGGTGTGGGGAGGCGGCGAGTGAGGTCCATGTCCATGTCCATGTCCATGTCCATGGCGGCCCCACGGCCCAGGAGGACCGCGGTGGAAGCCACGCGGGCCTCCGGGACCCATCCAAGGACCGCGACCCCAGCTACCGCGGGGTCCTCCTTCTTCGTCGGAGCTCTCACGGTTTTCCGTGGAGGGACCGGCAAAAGGGTGGGAGGGGCCTTGGTTCTCGAGGCTGGCGACGAAGTCCCAGAAGGGAGCAGTCTGATTTACGTACCGAATTGAAGGCATGTTGATGATGATGATGGAGGATGGAGGTGGGGATGAGTGATGAGATGATGGGCCATTCTGGGGGGGTTCAGCGCAGTTTAAATACTGTATGTAGGTCAGTGTAGGCAGAGCGGCGTACGTAGGCTTTCCGCCACCGCGGTGCGCGTCAGGCAGCAGAATTACTCGGCCTCTGTATGGACCGATGCGCACATCTCATGCCTAAGCAGGAGAAGGTGCGGGAAGAAGCGAGAAGGTGCAAGAGCTAAAGGCTGCCATGTGCTACGCACTTGGAGCGAGCTAGGCAGGATGGTTGGCCGATAATGGGTAAGCTGTGCAGCGATGTGGCGCGGGCGGCCGAGCGCTGGGAGCGTCAGTCGGGGTTGTGGCGCAGACGTGGCAAACAACACCGATGTCCGAGCCTAGTTGTGGTACGCTTTGGCAACCTCGGCCTCGGTGATAAGCATGTTAGTGAGTCAGAGACTGTGACAGACGTGTTGCGGCGTGCATGATTGCGCAACACAAGTGGCAGGGTTGCAGAGACCGGCAAAAGGAAGAAAAGTTGTCGGCGTGAACTCGAGGGCTGGAATGTCTCGTCATCGGCGGCGGCGACGCTCGGCTGGCTCGGCCCGCACGCACGTGATCCACTCGGCCCTTCGTTTCGCCGCCGCCCGCTACAAAGAAAAAAATTGCGCAGAGTCCAACAACACCCGCACAAAGACCCAACTTTGCGCCATCTCAAAATGACTTGAGACCTCGCCCCTCCATAGCCATCTGCTTGCAGATGAGCGTCTATACCTGCGGATCTCAATGCCCGAGCGCTAGACACTGCGCTCTACGTCTTCCAGCAATCGCCGGTCAGCAGGCTCTGCGCCTTGCGGGAGACGGTTTCGCCAGGCGACGTGGAGCTTTCTACCCTGCCTGCTTTCCATCTCACGGCTAATCCAGTTGACCAGCTATATGCTTGGCTTTTCAAGGTATGTTCAACTTGTCTGCACATTCAACCCTTCTACTCAAATGATGAGTCTATTGCAAAAATTATAACAGACCTGTTCCGAACCAAACAATGTGGAGGAACTGCTTGGAGACCTTCTGATTTTCCAGTTACACTTTGAAATTACATTCGCAACTGTTGTTTGCACATGGCTAATTCATTGCTGTAATAGGCTTCCCGCGCTGTTGCTTGACAATGTCGAGCTCATGCGCTTTACTCCCTTGGGTCACGCCTTCATGATGGTCCCCGCATCTGGCATGCGAGGACTATAGGCTAGCTCTGGCAGAGCATGAACATGCGCCTCTTCAGCCATGATGACTAAACATAGCCACTCTCTTTGTCCGACATGAATGGAGATATGCCATCCATGCTCAACAAAGACTTGTAGAAACTCTCCTTTGTCAATTCGTCTAATTCTGTCAGAGAACAATGGCCTTGAAGACATGGGATGTTGTCTTCGAACTGCCCAAAATAACTAGCACAATATAAGTCCTGGAGTCGTTCTCCATCAATGACCATCATCTCTCTTGCTCATCTTCCAAGTGGCTCCTGTTGTTGACCAACTCGACCACACTCTCTTTCGCATTTGCACTCTTCTCGTCTTTTCGTTGCGCTTGTATCCCGGAGATACAACAGCTTTCATCATGACCAGCAATCACTCGCCCGGCCCGCTAGACAACATCAACGACGACGAATGGACCGCACTGCTTGCAGGTGACGCGGGCCTGGGTCTGCATGACTTGGGCTCTGACTTCGATTTTCAGTACACTGACCCTGCTGCACAGGACGACGGCAACCCCTTCTACTCCCTTCTCGCTGACGCTGCGGATCCAGTTCAGGCGAATCAGCCACTTGATTTATCGACCTCCCAAGCCAACCATGCGATCTATGCACCCACAGCGGATCAGAGCACTGTGGCTTACTCTTCCGGTTCTGGTTATGTATACCCTGTGGATGATTTGCTTTTCCCTCCGCCCTCCAATAACGTACACTTTGCTGTTCCCGACAAGTCAGAGACACCCGATACCCCTAGTCGATATGAAACTCGCAGTTCGACGACTCTCAAGCCCCCCGCTGGTCCAGCAGCGAGCATCGTCACGCTCGACACTGACGATAGCAGGCGGCGGTCATCCACTGCCAGCACCAGCGACGATGCTGGAGCAGAGTTGGACAGGGCCAGTCGCAACTTCACGCGAGAGAAGCCAAAGTACGATCCAAAGCACCCGTGGCACCGCATCAACACCACGACGCAGGGGCTGACCAAGCGATCCGGCAAGATCAACCAGTATTCGGCCGAGGAGATGTACAAGCAAAACATCAAAAACACCTTTGAGTCCTGGACCTCGCCCAGCCACCGGTTCGACTATCTCGCTCATGGAGAGCTGGCGAAGCTGGAGTACTCGGCCGACGAGATCAAGGAGTTCGTCTACCATCATCCGGTGTCGAGGCACAGCAAGCTTCGCATCTGGATCCAGAAGACGCCGGCCGACTCCTGCCGTCGCTACCCCAGCGCCACCCTCTCCAAGTGCCGGTTCAAGCAATGCCCTCTCCGCAGGGAGAACCTGAACGGCACGATCCAGCCCGGCCACATGCGCGTCGCCTTCGACGAGCGGTCGGCCAAGTACGGGGACAGGGCGGACCCGTTCTACATGGCGGCCAACTTCCACCTGTACTGCTTCGAGCAGCTGCTCGACCTGCCCGACGTCTGCGCGCTGCAGAACGTCGAAGTGCTGGCGGACACGCGGCAGCTGATGAGCGAGCCCAACATGAAGTGGAACGCCTCGCTGTCCAACGTCAAGGAGGGCGTCGTGGCCAAGCGCTTCATCGAGTCCTGCCGCAAGGGCCGCACCGCCCCCATCAAAGGCTTCGACGGCTATCCTCGCGGCCTCCAGCCCGGGGCCACGGTCAAGCCGCACGAGCTCACGCTCAACCACCGCATGCAACAGGCCAAGGAGGGCGACCGTGCGCGGTCGGCAAAGGAGTCGCTCGCGCGACGCCCGCAACGCCCGACCCAACTCAACGTCAACCTGGGCGACCTTGAGATGCTCGTCAGGGCAAAGGTGGCCGCCCGCAAGCCGCCGCCGAAGCCCAAAGACCGCCGCCGCAAGCGCAAGGGCGAGTGGTTCCCGCACTTCAGCGACAACGAGGACTCGGACGACAGCAACCAGTACAACCCGGACTCTCCAGCAGAGCCGCGGCCGCCGATGCGCAAGAAGCGCCGGACTACTAACGACGGCGGTGTGGTGGTGCCAGCTGTGGCGGCGGACCCGGCCTATGCGCAGCCGCGCACTGATTGGCCCTCCAGCTACAACACCGCCGACGCGTCACTGCTCGGCTACGGCGGCGGCGGACAGTACGCGCGGCCCCAATATGCAACAGACGACGACGCGAGCTTCGACCAGCTCCTTCATCCTGTTGCCGCCTTCGCCGCTACCGACGCTTCAACAAGCGCCGCCACCGATCCTAACTATCCTACTCTGTCCACCAACAACACGGGTGCAGGACACCCAGCACTTAATGCCAACCGCAGTGACACTGAAATTTCCGCCGCCGCCGCCGCCGCTGCCGCCATCGACCCCAACCTTGACGACATCGTCTTCGACTTCGACTTTGCCGCCGCCGCCGCCGCCCCAGAGCCGGCGGTACCAGACCATCCGCCAATCACCACCACCACCTCTCCTCCCACCACCCAAACCCAAACCCACACCCACACCCAACCCCCCACCCGCCGCTCCTCCATCCCCATCCCTCCCACCTTCCCCCTCAACCCCGCCTTCTCCCTCTCCAACCCAAAGAAGCGCTCCGCTCCCGCCTCCGACGACGACCTCGACGCAGCCCGCCGGCCGTCCTCATCATCGTCGCGCGCCACCCCCGCCACCAAGCGCCGCCGCCTCGCCTCCGCCGTCAGCACCGGCTCGTCGTCGCTGTCGTCGCTGCCGTCGTCGAAGATCAGCCCGAAGAGCCATCGCGGGCGGGTTGGCGGCGGCGGGGAGGTGCTGACGCCGAGGACGCCGCGGAGGAGGAGTTCGAGGTTGAGTTCGAGGGTTGGGAGTGGGAGTGCTGGGAGTGGTCAGGGGGGGCGAGAGGGGTCGGGGTCGGGATCGTTGGAGTCGCGGTCGTTGGGGTCGTTGGGGTCGCTGGAGAGTTTGTTTGGCTTTGGGGGGTGATCAGCCGTGAGCCGTGAGGTGAGGTGAGTTTTACATACGCAGGTGAGTGAGTGTTTGTTTCATTGCAGTATACCTTAGCCAGCTATATCTATTGGTTTTTTTTCTTGATATACTTTATTTGTTGTGTGTGTGTGTGTGTGTGTGTGTGTGTGTGTGTGTCTATGCTCTAGTGATGTGCCATGAGGTGTCTTGGCCGTCCTGGTCCCTTCGTGCTGTGCCTAGATGTCCCAACTCCCACCTACCATCTTTCTTGTAATCATGACTTAGCGATCGAACATCTCTCATCTAATACCCTCGAACTACGGCTCGTAAACTGTCAAGTTCACTGTACATCTGTCGTGCCCTCGACCAACTCGGCTGCAGCACGCGACACTGACGACAAAGATCCTCTTCGAACGCCGCTTGGACGTCTGGCTGAAGCCCAGGGCTTTGTGAATGGGCCACGTGCAAGCGCCTCGTTTGTAAGCGGTATTAAATCAGTACGGTGGCGTTGCCGCGATTCTTTGTCGAGGAAAGAGCGGATTTGGTCGGGACGGAGCACCGTGGCAAAAAATTAAGAGACTTACGCGTTTACTGCTACAAGGCGGCAATGCTCTGGGCTCTGACGTTCAGCATTTGGGGCGTGTCTAACCAATGTCGCCCGGCAGGAAGGTAGCAGAAATAGTGACACGGGAAAGGTAAGAAGAAGACGGGCGGCGCAAGGGCGCCAAGGGGCCGTGAGGGGCAGTCGCGGACATAACGTATCTCTGCTGCACACGCTGATGAGCTCTTATGCAGAGCTCATACCGGTGCTACCCTCTCCATTGATGAGGCCTGCGTGGCGGCGAGGTGCAGTGGGTTGACGGTGATGGTTTCATCTCGTGTTTCTTGGGATTATTGGAGCTCTTTGTTGTACCTTATCTGTATACCGCGGACGTACACCACAAAGGGTAGAACCGCCTCACAATCCCTGTCCTACAAGAGGAAAACCGAAAAAAACTAGGGCTCTTCTCCACGCCGCCAAGGAAAGGGGGGTGGATTGGGGTGACGTTGAGCATGAACTTTGCACGCCGCGGGCTTACTGACGCAAGGCGCATAAACGTTCCCCCCCTCCACCAAAAGGAGGAAGAAGCCAATTTCCCCCCCTAATTGCGCGCGCGAGCAAAGAAGCTTTTCTGCTCGTTCATCTCGATTTTATTTCTTTTTCCCGCGTCCGCCGCCATATCCAGGGAGAGACAGCGTGTGTGCGCGACAAAGGAACGGGTACAACCGAAGCTAAGCTTCATTGCAAACATGCGGCGCCGCGGGCGCGCGCACGATGTGCACAAGTAAGGGAAAAAGCATTCTTTTTGCTCACCTCAACGCACACCAGTGTCTCAGGATTCTTTTGGTTGGCAGACAATGACCTCACGCGTGCGTCTCGGATACACGACCATCTACATTTGGTCTTGCGTGTCCAATAGTGTGTCTTCATGCTGGGAGAGAGCAGAGTGCCTTGTTTGGCGGCTGTTTGGGCTGATGGTGCCATGTTGAAGTCGACTTTGGGCAAAGCGGGCGTCGGATCACGCTCTCGATCCCCCCCTTCCCTCTCCCTGGAGCAGTTAGCTATCTGTTCTGGAACCCCGTCCCGGATGGGAAAGAGGGGTAACTCATTTTCGCCCCCTCTTGCGGTGGTCTTTAATCTCGTCGGACGCGTTTTCCGACACGCGCTCTCTATCATTGCGATGGAAAGGAAGGGGTCCGGGCTGATCGGCTCTCTCTGTGTGCGCAAGGGAATGGCCTCAACATTTCGAAGAGTGAGTGAGGGTGGGCATCAGTAGAAGACTAGTGCGGGGGAGAGAGCGAAGGAGATTGATATCGGCGAAAACGGCTTGGCCTTTTGTCGTACTTGATCGCCACGGTGGAGGTCGCTCCGGCGGGAACGGGGGAAAAGTAGTTTGATTGAAAGGTGGTCAATGGCCTTCTCGCTTCCGACCGTTGGAAGCAAGGAAGACATGCGGATCTGCTAATGGCGAAGGAGAAAGGGAGGAAGCCTGCTCTTTGCCCTCTCTAGGAGCTGCAACTCGAGTCCGACTCCGAGGCGGGGAGGTGCAGTGAGGAAGCGTGGAGGAGCGGGCAGCAAGTGAGACACTGGACAGCCGTTTGCCAGAGATGGGAAGAAGCCAAGACAGTTGGACCGGACAGGAAAGACAAGTGGGATCAGCGCAGCTTGCATGAGCCAAACCCGGGTTCGCGGGTACGCAAGAACAGATAAAAATGGGCAGACGTCGGAGGTATTTTCTAAGACAATGGTAAATGAAAGGAGCGCCGCATGCTCCCGCGTCCAGATCCCACACAACCCGCGGTGGTACAGAGATCCGACCAGACGACAGCAGAAAAGAATAGCTCGCATTTGCGGGCGGGCGAAAGACGAAACCGGTGTTTGAGCGCAGCTGCTGCCGGAAACTGGACCATCGCGTCTGGGTAGCACCGCTGCCTGTCGTGGGCGCAGCGGCGCTTGTCTGTGCCACCCGCCCCTCCAGCAGCAGGCTAGGCCCAAACGCACGGCGGGTGTAACGCAATGACGACGTTCATGTGGACCGCGGGCAAAGCGGCCAAGCCGAGCGGCGCCGTTGATGTCGACTGCTCTCCAGCACTGCCCGAACGGGCGCGTATGTGCAACGCAGCAGGGGTGCCTGAAGAGAGTCGACGGTGGGGATCGCTGGCCGGCAGCAATACAGCAGCCGTATGCGTAGCGCAGAAAGCAGGGCAAGGACGTTGGTAAATGACAGCCGCGCGCCGGCGGCAGACGGGATTGCAACCTGTGCAGAGTGAGCGCTGCATTGCAACGGTGGGATTGCCCGGCGTCTCTCCGACCGTAGATCCCAAAGAGCTGAGCGTGCCTCCAGAGTCCAGCACGACGTGCCGGCAGCCAGAAGCATTTCGTGCCCAGTCTTTGCAGACATGCGACCATTTTTCTCTTCCAGCACTCGCGGATGGTGTTGAGGATGACGTCTGGCCTGCAAATGCAGAATACGTATAGGATGACTGTCAGTAGCAGTCTAACGCTGGGCTGTTGGCGCGTGGTAGTGCGTTAGTTTAGTCTGGAGATACACCAAGTAACCATTTTTCTCTCCCAGCACTCCAGGATGGTGTTGATGACGTTAGGCCTGTAAATTTAGAATGTATACAGGCTGTTCGTCAATAACACTCTAACGCTGGACTGTTGGCGCAATAGCACTCTAACGCTGGGCTTTAGCGCAATAGCAGCGCGTTGTTAGTCTGGAGATACACCACCATAGTATCGCATGACGTCAGCCCCCCCAATGCACAATATCTACCGCCTGCTTGCCACTTGCCCCCTAACGCCGGGCGGTTGGCGCAATGGTAGCGCGTTGGTTTTCGGTCAGAAGATTCACCAAAGGTTGTGGGTTCGAGCCCCATGCTGCTCGTTTTGCCTTTTTTTTTCATTCTGCGGAGTTTGCTTGCTGTTTTGCTGCGTCGAGGGCGGCGGGGCGGGGCGGGGAGAGGATTTGGGGGTGGTGGAGGGTGAGGTTGTGGGCGTGCGGGCTGCCGGCCGGAAAAAAGCCGGGTGGCGAGGCGAGGCGAGGCGAGGCGAGTCGGGCAGGCGCGGGCGGGCGCAGGCAGGCGCAGGGCCAAGCGATAGTGTGCGGCTGTTGCTGATGCGTGCGAGCGAGCGAGCGACACCCGCCCGCTCCTTCTTTCTGCACGTCGCCCGAGACACAGCTCCTTCGCCATCCCACCCGGCCTTCGCTGGCCTCCGCGCTCGACGGACACGCAGACACGCAGGTCACGGGCGCCGCGGCGCGACTGGACGCGGTTGAACATCGAACAGTGATACATTTGAGAGTCCTATAGCGTCGCTTGGGTATTGTTTCTAAGCTATGTCCGCCCGTTGTCGCCGTGCGGGCGGGTTGCCGTACGTGCTCTTGCCTTCCTTCCCTCCCCATCCGCTGCACTTCCGTTTTTGTCCATGAAAGAAACACCCTGAACCTTTTTTTTTTCGCTTCCCCCCCGCCATGCCGCGTTGCCCTCGTCTGTTCATCACACATGTCGTCGCCAATCATGCCACTCACTCGTAATCGCGTTCAGCTAGACCGTCTACGTCGTACTGTCCACCGCCTGGTGGTGGAAGAGGGGGTGGGAATAGAGGGATGAAATCGAGCCGCAAAGTCGGCCGGAAGAAAGAGAAAGAGAAAGAGACGCCGCGAAGAACCCAAAAAAAAATGAGGTATGAGTTACAAGATTAAGCGCGTGACCGTCGCACGAGGGCGAAACGCAACCAAGAATGCAAACGACCGACGCGGGAGACGACGGCCGTCAGGATAGCCGAAATATAATAAACGCACACGTCACGGGAACGGAACTACGACACACGCAAAAGGAAAAAGGAGACGCCCGTCCGTCAGTCCCTCGACTTCATCTTGGACTTCGGGTTCTGCAGCTTCTCGATCATCTTCCGCGCCTCGTCCTCGGGCTCGGATTGATGCAGGTACGTGCACAGGGCGTCGAAGGTGACGGGTGCGTTGCGCGCCTTCTTGCCGAGCAGCGCCTCCTTGAGGTGTGTCTCGTAGTGCGCCTTGCGGTTGTCGTTGCGGCTGAAGCGACGGCCGCAGTGGGGCACCACGCAGGGGAACGGCCGCTCCTTGCTGTGCGTGTTCTCGTGGCGCTTGAGGTGCTCTGGCCGCGCGAACGTCTTGATGCAGCCCTCGAACCGGCACCGTTGCTTCTTGGTCTCGCCCGTCGCCGAGCAGTACCGACCCGACTTGGGGTCGACCTGGATCCCGGACTGGTACTTGACCTCGACGGGGCACCCGTTGTGGTGGGTGTCGAATGATTCCAGCATGTTGCCCGAGCGCATCTTTCGTTTGGTGATTCCGCTCGCCCGCACCTTGGAGTCCCGACGGCTGCCTTTCCGCCCCGGCGTCATGAAGTCGCGCACGCCGTGCTTGGAGTCTCGCCGGTAGTCCGAGTCCCCCTCTTGCTTGATGAGGGGCTCCTCGGGGTTGGTTGAGCTGTACCCGTCATCGTACGAGAAGCTGTCATCGAGGCTGTCTGACTGCATCTCATTGTACTTGTTACTATCTCCGTCCACGATCGTGTCCTCGGGCTGGACCGACTCCGTCTCGTTGAAGATGGGGAGGTCATACGCCGGCTGGGCCTGGCCCGGCCAACCGTAACTCGGGTTGTAGCCCGAGTTCACGGCCGTTGGCGCGAACACCTCTGCCGGCATGCTCGACATGGCAAAGTTTGGCGGGGCCGCGTGCTCTTGCGCGTTCCAAATCTCCGAGTTGCTGAAAATCTCGGCGGGCGGCTGTAATGTCCTCGGTGCGTGCGGAGCCATCTGGGGTTCGCAGAATGGGGGGAAGTCTCGCGAGCCAGGCAAGCCCATGCCATCACCTTCGGATACGGATACTCTCAGGCCGCCGGGGTTCATGTTCGGTGGCACCATGGCCCAGCTGTTAGGCCGGCTCTGATGCTCCGACTCGAGCGCCCTGGGCTTGGGAGGGAAGCTCAGGTGGTTTTGCCAGGCTTCGTGAGCGAAGTCGTCGAGGTCATGGCGGGGGGCGTCTTGCGCTGTCGGGTGGTCAAAGGGGACTCCGCCGTTGGGATGCATCAACCAATAGTCCTCCATCGGCTCCCGCGACGAGTGGGGAGTGAGAGGCATTTGGGTGGGGTAGTAGCCGGCAGGACTGTTGCTCGAGTAGCTGTGGGCACAAGAAGCGGCCGACTGCATCGAGGCAACCGAGTCGCGGCGGTCGTAGGGGGATGGCGTCAGGTAGCCCGAGCTCGGGTAGGCGTGGGTGGGCTGGTTCATGTCCATTCCTTCGACCTTGAGGGCGTGGATCGATGCTCTTCTTGGCACGGAGCTGGTGCGGGCTGGAAAGGCCGAGCCTGATATGCCGTCAGCCTTGCTCGTGGGGATCAGCATGGCCACGACTGACGAGCAATGAGGGGCACTGTCGACAGGAATGACGGCCAGCCGGCTGGGCAGGTGCTAAGGAACGTATGCGGCGAGGATAATTATGATGGTATAGGGGGGGGGCGAGGGCGAGATAGGCGCAAGGGCAGATGAGCGGGAAGCCAGCCAGGGGCCGGAGGTGGCTTATGAAGGCAGAGGGCGTTCTGCAGCCGGGACGGCGGCGCCGTTGGCCAGACGTTGAAGTCATAAAGCCTACTCACCAGGGTGGTACATGGTTGCAGTTGGCGCGCGAAGTGTGTACGCGACGTGCGCACAGGGCGTTGGAATGGTGGCCAGCCCGTCGCGACCTTCAGTGATAATCGTCAACCGGGCCTGTGACAGGCCTGGCGTAGTGGAGGGTGGCGCAAGACGAAGGCTGGGGAGCGTCGTCCCAACGAGGGCCGCGGATTGCACGCCGGGCTGCAAGGGAGGTCAGGAACAGGTCGAAGAGCAGTGGAAGCCTCGTCGAAGGCGCTGGGCGAGTCAAGAGGTATCTGTCGCCTCTTTGGGCGAGCGCGGAGTCTTATGAGAGGCTAGTCTTCAGGCACTTACACCTTGCAGGATCGTCAGCTGGGCGCGCCCGCGAATCCGGACGAAGAATTGGACGGCGACCGTAACTGCAACCTCAGTCGAGCGCCGCTTTTATGGAATGAGACCTTGGCCTAGCACCATCTGTGCGCCACCAGCTCGACGACGGCCTCTCTCATGCCAGCAACGGCGCACCGGTCCTGGCCGTGTCGTGTGTGGTGCTTGGAAATGGGCCGGCTGGCCGGCGGGATAAGGTTATGGCACAAGGCGCAGCTGGGGGTACACTTGAGTGTTAGGGACGGGAGGACCGCGGTCGCCCTGCTGCGGCTGCGAGGATGCTAGCACAGATGGCGCTGCGCTGCCGCCGCTGCCCTGTCCGCCGCTCGCCGCTCGCATATGCAGCCATCGGGTTATTACTTGCAGCAGCGCGCCCGCCAACGCTCTGCACCCCACACCGGACCCAGGCCATTCCCGAAGCGCGGCAGCGTCGCGCAAGCCAGCAGGCACGCAGATCCGCGCCTGGAATGGCAGCCTCGACCCCCAAACGGCGCCAAGGCCTGCGCTGCTGCTGTGCGCGCTGCCCGTCCAGTGCCAGTCCAGACGAGAGCTTCGGCACAGCCAATGGCGGGCGCCCCTGGCACGGCCATTGGCACGGCCAGACGTCAGGCGGAGCGCGGCCGCGGCGCCGCGGCGCCGACCAACCGCGGGCGCCGGCTGCTCGATGCGGCCGGCGGGCCTGGGCGGGCACAGAGAGAGAGAGAGAGGGCGGCCGCATTGGGAAAGCTTTGCTGAGGTTGCACGACAGCGCTTTGAAATTGCACTGGCCACCGCGGCAGGCGACGCGAACCACTGGCGCTCCGCCGGCAGCTTCGGCAGTCGCGGTGTTTTGAATGTTTCGCGCTGGGGGCGCACAGCCGGCAAGAATGCATGATCTGACGCTGTCTGCGCGAGACACGCGGCGGCCGCGGCGGGCGGCGGGCGGAGCAGCAGCAGCAGCAGCAAAAGTAGCAGCAGAAGTAGCAGCAACAGCAACAGCAGCCGCCTCGCAGGCGGGCGCCGGCGTCATGGCGAGCAAAGGCGGGCGCAGACGGGCGGCGGGCGGGTGCTGGCTGCTGGCTGCTGGCTGGCAGCGCGCCGCGGCAGGGCATGGGGAGGCTGCTCGAAGCCATCTGCTGCCGCTACTTACAGCTGCTGCTCTGGCCCCTGCATGCGGCGGCGCCAGCTAGGCCAGGCTGCCGACGGGTATTTGCAGCTGTCAACGCTCCTCCGCACTTCGCCGAAAGCTAAAAGCTACGCGCTCTTGCGCCATCGGCGGCGGCGCTGTGGCTGACCGGGGCTCCAGCTCCAGCTCCAGCCCGCACTCGAGCCGGCGGACGGTCGCGCCTCGCCCGTCTACCTAGCAGCCATGGGGGTGCCTCTGGTGCCTTATGCCCTGCCAAGGCGCGTCGTCTGGACGTGCCCCGTCTGGACGTGCCCCGTCTGGACGCGCCCCGTGTCGGCTGATCGACTGAGCAGTGGGGGGCCCTGAGTCGATCTGGCCGCAAGTCACCATGAAACGTCCTCCCAGTCGCACATGGAGCTTGATAAGGGCTGGGTCCCACTGCGCCGATGGCCCGGGACGCGCCATCGACTCTGGCGACGCCGTGAGCAGCGTCTGACGCTCACAAGCAGTCAGCTCAACCGGCGTTCATGCGTTGCATCCCGCAATCGCACCAATCGCACCCCTAGGCGGCGGCGGCCAACGGCCTTGGCCTGTTCGGGCTGCTGCCGTCACGGTAGCGTCAGCGGCCCAATGGCGACGGCGGCCCGCGCGCTCCCTCACCCAGAGCGAGAGCATCATCTCAACGCCCTCTGTTGCACCGCATTAGACGCGATTTCGTGCCCAGTTCGCGGGCTCGTCCAAGGATGCCACGGATGCATACGGCTGCTCTGACACGGCTGCACGGCTGCTGCTCATGCGGCCGGGGCTCAGACGGCCGCCGCATCGGGCAGGCATGCCAGCATCGTGCCAGCATTATTGTGCCAGCGTCGTTTCCCTCTCCAGCGCCGCCGCCGCCCGTTCGGGAAGTTGGGGCTTTTCTCTGCTCAACACACGCACACCCACACACGATGCAGAAGCCTGCGTCGGTTCGGCTGATCGTCCGAGCGGGCCACCGCCTGTGTCTTGCAGCAGACACGGCAGCCCCCCGCAGGCCCCGCAGGCACCGCAGCAAAGCTTCGCCACTGTGCCTGTCGGCTGCCCGCAAGGGGCGGCGCGAGCTCTCGCTGGGAAATGGCCCGATCTGTTGGCCGGCTCATGACCAGCATATCGAATGCCAATGCGAAAAAAAAAATCTCTGACTGCTCACATCCGCTCGCACCGGCCGCGACAGCAGTTCGTGCCGTGTTCGCTGCTGGCTGCATCGGCTCTGCTGGCCGGTGCAGGCTGGACAAGGTTAGCCTGTCACTAGGATGCCAGATGCGCGGCCGGCCGATGCGAGATGGAGGCGTGCTTGCATCGGGCAGCGGGTAGGTAAGCTCCAATGCCCAGATGCCCAGATGCCCAGATGCCCAGATGCGACAGCCTCTCGCCCGAGGCCGGGTATCTGCAGACGCCGAGATATGAGTTCCCAGATCACATCCCTCCAGCTGCATCTTTCCGCCTGCCCGCCTGCCCGCCTGGCCCCCCCCATCCTGGTCTTGCGACTCACCGCTCCTACTACTCTGCTGCTCTGCTGCTACGGCTGCTGCTACGGCTGCTGCTGCTGCTGATGCTGCTGCTCGTCGCTGATCCATCGAACTTTTGACAAACACATCATGTGAGTGTTACACCGCAACCGTCCGCTCGCACTCATCATCACGCCGTCTCATCCACTTTGTGACCACCAGCGGCGCAGTCTCCGCCGACCATGGCCATCGCTGCTCGTCGCCCCGGTCCTCGATCCGCCTAGTCAGCGCAGCGCCGACGATGGAGGGTGGGCACAGTACCGTCTTGACGCTCATGACCACTGCAAACGGACTCCCTCCCACCTATGGCACTCGCGTGTCCATGTACACCGGGTTGTATCCGAAGCCGTCGCAACCTTCCACCGGACCGGGCCCCATTGTCTGTTGTTGGAGCTCCAAAGATAACTCATCTTGAAGCAGCCTGCTCTGCACGAAACCAGCCCTAGGAGCCACTAACGGCACAACCCACCAGTTCAGCCCCATTGACTCGTCAGGACAATGTTCCCTCTCCGCCAAAGCGCCTGTGAACGGCCCTCAGTGCTTTCGCCTGGTACTGTAGAACCAACGCTACCGCAGTCATTATCCAATGGGTGACTGATTCATCATACCACAGCAATCATCGTGAAGAGCCGCCAACATTGGGACGCGAGCGTGCCGACAAACCCGGGTAGTGTCCGGTAGGGTATGCGATGGACGTCGGCCATCCCTGTCGTGACCGGCTGGGGAGCTATTGGTGGATTGCCAGCCAGCCAGCCGCGTGCTAATCTTTGTGATGACCCACCCCAACTGCCTGCCTCGCGGTATTTTCCACCGCCGACAGATCTAGCCAAGGCAGACCCTCGACCCCGACCGAACGCGAACGAGCAACTGCCAGTGTAGTGGGCTCTACTTTACCTTCCCGGCGCAATTCATCATCCCACATCCATCGGACCACTCTCCTATCCTATTTCGTCCAAGTGAACCGCAACTCAGCCATTTTGGCTGTACGGAAAAAGGAAGAAGCCCGAGACTACGGCCTTTCTGCCGAAGCGGGCCGCTGCCTTGCGTGCTCTTCCATTCGGAGTGGCCGAGTCTTTGTCCTGCTCGAGGCGAGTGGCCCCACGCTTGTGGCTTGACAACGTGGGCCTTTCGCCCGCGATCGACAACAAAACCGGCGCCGAAGCGATAAGGCGACGACAAAGAGTGGGCAAGGTGAAGCACGCCAAAGGATCCAGGATCACCCACATGGGAGCTCGTGGGACAACCTCCCTCCGTTCTCCACGTCATGCCAAGACGTGATTGACGATATTCTCAGCAGAAGGATCGAGGAGGTAGGGATGTGACGAAGCATCAAGCCTCGCGCCTGAGGATGGCGTACTGGATCCATTTCATCACGCGCAGATCACATCGGACGATGCTGATTGCTGTAGCCCATGGTATTGGGTCGCTGTTTGTCTCCCGTGGCTTTGGCCTGCGAATCGATACAGAGATTGGGGAATCGGCTCCTCTTGGATGTTGCGTGATTTTGTCATGGGGGGTTCTAGTACGTGGAGCGTCATGGCACACTCACTAGACTTCAACCCTCCGCTCGGCCACCGCCCTCGCTCCCGCCCACTGTGGTCTTCGCATGTGGCCACACGCATTCCACCTTCCTTTCTCTCCTCCCCACGTGTCCCCCTTCGACCCTGCTCCCCGTTGACACGCTGTTCCCTTGAAGATCACAGCCACGTTCCTATCGCAATGCTGTAGGACGTTTC